GGGTCCACCTGGCTAGGCCATGGTGCCCAGGTGGTTGGTCAAACATCAGGCTAGATGTTGCCGTGAAGGCCTTTTTTGATGTTTTTGTGTGTTTTCACATGTGATTAACATGTAAATCAGTAAACTTTAAGAACAGCAGTCTTCTCCATCATGTGGGTGGGCCTCGTCCAAGCAGTTGAGGCCCTAAAGCAAAGACGGAGATCCCCAGAGAGGAATGAGTTCAGCCCCGAGACAGCCTCTAGGAGGGAAACAACAGCATTAATGCCTCCTGGGCCTCTAGCCTCTGGCCTGGCTGCAGAGTTCAGACTCAGCCCCAGCAATCGTTAAATCTATTATATATCTAATCGGTCTCCTATCGGTTCCATTTTCTTAGAGAAACCTGACTAATGCAGGGTCCTTACAAAGAAGTGGCGCCAGACCCAGGTCCACTACAGGACACTGCACTTATTAGGATGTAGTCCCAAGGTTAAGGGCTCCCCTTCGCCAGCCCCAGCCACTCTTCACTGCCTCTTGTGGCTGAGGAGAGGGAAGAGTGTGAGTGGGACCAGTTTGGGAAGAGTGGACTCCAGAACTTCCGACTGTTGGTGGCAGATGTCACTTTGGAGGTGGCGGTAGCAGATGCAGGCGCTCTGCAGGTGCCAGGTGGGCGGCAGCAAGACTGTGGGTGCTTACAGGAGGCCTGTGTGGCAGCAGTGAGCAGACAGCAGGTGGCTGCCACCCCCCAGGGGCAGACCTCAGAACCAGGAGTGGCAGCTGGTACAGATGGGAAGGGGGGCGGGTTCGAGGGTGTCCTCAGGGTGAGTGAGCTGGGGTCTAGGCTCCCTCTCCTTCAGCCACATGTACTGGGGCCCCTTTATAGAGAGGCTGGAATTGACCTGCAGAAGGTTCTCGGGTGGGACATGGGCCAGATCCAGCCTAGAGCCATCACCTATGCTTCTGCATAGGAAGCCAGAGCCCCCATGAGACAGTGAGGTGCTCCTGCAAGGCCAGGGACTTAAGCCAAAAAAAGGGAATCTGTTACTCTGTTGCCTCATGTAACTGGGAATTGCAAGGGTATATAGCAGGGTTGGGCAAACTTTTTGACTCGAGGGCCACAATGGGTTCTTAAACTGGACCGGAGGCCGGAACAAAAGCATGGAAGGAGTGTTTGTGTGAACTAATATGAATTCAAAGTAAACATTACATCACAGGGTACGGTCTTTTTCTTTTTTAGTTTTATTCATTTCAAACGGGCCAGATCCGGAACCACGGGCCGTAGTTTGCCCACGGCTGGTATATAGCCTTCAGGTATGGCCGGATCCAGGAGCTCTGAACAGATCCTTAGAGAGCTCTTTCCTTCCTCCTCCACCTCCACTCTCTCCCCACCTCTCAGCCCTGCCTCCCTTGAGAGGTCCCAACTCTCTCCTGCTGCAGGCCTTCTCCTTGTGGCCAGGAGAGATGGCCCGAGGCACACCCCCCAGTTACAGCCTCAGCGTTTACACATGTCTGTCATGTGGGCAGGGCAGGGTGCAGTGCCTTAGACCTTCACACCTCGGAAGTTGCGGGTTCCCTGGGTGGCAGCGAAGAGGCCTGAGATGAAAGTCCACACCCCACTCCCACGCCCCCGGAAGGTGAGCAAGGGCTGCCCCACAAAGGTAAGGAACGGGCGCAGGCACAGAGGCAGCGCGCACACGCCATCACAGTCAGAGGGGCTTTTATTAGGAAAGCAGCCGCCAGCACACCAAGAGCACTGTGCTGTGGTTCCACACATTTCCTGAGGAAGGAGGGTCACAGTATGAGCTCAGAGGAGCTGGGCCAGTGGGCAGGCGACTGCTCAGCGCCGCGGCCAGCACCCCTAGTGACAGGACTCGCCATCACGATCTGCACATGGACGCCGCACGACACACAGCTGCGCTACACACACATCAACCACAAACACAGAGCTGCTGCGGGGCCTGAAACAAAAGGAACCGAAAGGGATAAAGAGAACCAAGCCTTTCCCTCCATTGGACAAGGGGGGTCATTCCCCAAAGCATCGAACTTCCTCAGTTACAAAATACTTTAAAAATTCTATTATTAAAAGAATAAATAACAAAATATATTAAAAATAACTTGATTGCATCAAAATTATAACTAGATTATAGCAAGATTTTTTGTATGTGTGGCCTACCTCATAGTCAAATCGTTAATTTCACTTTGATTTATTTCTCTCTCATGGTATCCTGGTATGTGGGGGGGACTACTTCAAACAGTACAAAATTAATAAATAAAAAATGTCAAATAAATAGCAAACGTTAACATAAAAGAGGTTGTGAATATAAATACTTACATCTTGACAAAATTAAATAATTTACAGAATAATTAAACTAACTACTTTTTTAATTTCTTCCAGAAAGAGCAATTTCTCTACTTGTAAATACTAACTTGGAATTGCAGTCACAACTGATTTGGACTCTATTTACACGTAGGAACATTGTGTTTTTAACACATTCGATTAAAATTTACCTTTTTTCACATCTTGAATAGATCTAACAAGGAGTGAAACCTTGGTGTCTCCGATTAGAATGTGTCCCCTGACCTCACAGACGCTGTCACCCAGCCCTGAGTCAGCCCCGTGCAGGGCTGCGGCCCACGAGGGAGCTGTGGCGCAAGATGCTTTCTGGGTGAGCCAGCGGCCGGTCAGGGGCACCCCGGTCAGACACCTGGAGCGGACGGTGGGCTGCAGGCCTGCTCCTACCTTGCCCTCTGGAGCGGTGCTTTGTTCCATTCTTAACACAAAACTGAATTAACTGAAACAGAAAACACACTCGCCGCGCTGGCCTCGCAGAGCCGCCGCGCCGGCTGGGCCCCGGCTCAGGCCATGGCCACCCCAGCGCCACAGACACGGGAACACCGTGGTTGCAAACTCCAAAACTTCCCTGAGAACCACTGGAGACCTCGAGCTGTTCTTCAGATTATTTTCAGAAAACAAAAATAAATCCCTTTGTAATACTTCACACTCTGCCCTCGCTCAGGGAGGCTGCGGCCTCGGCCTGACCGGCATCGGAGGGAGCCCGCCCTCCAGGCACCCCTCTGATCACCCGCGAGGCGGGCTCCGCCCAGAAGTCACTGTGACTTGGGAACCTCCGGGAGGGCAGTGTGGGGGAGGTAGCACGGAGCCCAGCTGGGGGCCTAGACCTGGATGCCCCTCACGGCCTGCTTGATGCTCTCCAGGAGGGCCCTGTGCTCGGGGTTCTGGTAGCTCTCCCGGCTGGAGCACATGTCGGTGAGGGTGCTCACGTAGGCGTCGAAATTCTGTTCACATATTGGCTCCTGGAGGACAGAACCAGTCTAGCAAGGCCTGCCTGCGGCGGCCCCGGGGTTTCAAAGACTGTGGAGCCATAGGGGACGAGCCCCACCCACCCAGCACTGACTGCCCCTCCACTCCATCTCCCAGGAGGGCTGGCTGCGGATCTCCAGGACTCAGGAGGCCAGGAGCCATGTGGCAGCAGCCCCCCCATGCGCCCTCAGGCCCGCCTGCTGCTCACCATGTGTGGAAGGCGGATGTTGGCAAGACTTTGGATGAGGGCCTGGCTCAGGCCCGACAGCTCCAGAAACAGGGCTTCGTTCTGCTCCTCGATGACCTTGTTCTCCTGCTCGATGGTCCGCAGGCTCTTCTCCATGGAGGAGATCTGCACTGACAGAGACGGGAGCCGTCCCTCACGTCCTCCTGGGACCATCTCCTGCCTCAGGGGGAGGGTCCCTGCCACAGGGAGGGGCTGGCAGCGCCCTGGTCCCTGGTTGCAGGGCACACAGCGACTAGCCAGGGGCAATGTGGGCCATGGCTTGGTGTGTGTCTTCCTTAGGGTGAAAGAAAGGAGCCCAGGCAAGCGCGATCCTGGGCAGCTTCACAGTCCTCGTTTGTGATGGGAGTTCTGCACCCAGCGGGGTGTCTGCTGCCTTTGGGTTTCCACCCCACAAAGACCAGCAATGTGTCTAAAGCAGCTGAGGAGGCGGGAGGTTGGGGAGGGCGGGCAGCCACTGTCCCCAGAAACCCATCGCCCAGGGGAGCGGCCGATGGCTCCTCCAGGCACCCTGACAGGGCCCTGGGGTTTCCAGCAGGACACCAGAGGGGAATCCCAGGGCGGCTCTGGGCCCTACAGTGGAATGCCAGAAGACAGCGATGCCTGGGCTGGCGGCCATGGGCAGTGCTGTGTGCTCTGGGCGGCTCAGGCCACCCGCACAGCCGTGCAGAGGTGCATGGCCAGCACAGGAAGGTGGGCCTGCCTGACTGCATTTTGCAGGAGCCTGGGCTCAGAAAGTTCAGTGTCAGTGATGAACAGTGATGACTGTCCAATGTTTTCCTCCAGCCAGGTGGCTCTGTGGCCAACGGCTGGGAGCATCCTGCGTCTGGGCGGCTGCCTCTGGGCCTCAGCCTCCGCCCAGCAACTCCCTGGAGGGGAAGGAAGTCCTCCCTAAAGGACTGCTGAATACACTTCTAAAGGTGGGCGTGGCGCCCTGGCCGTTTGGCCCAGTGGATAGAGCGTCAGTCCTCAGAGTGAAGGGTCCCAGGTTTGATCCAGTCAAGGGCACGCACCGCAGGTGCAGGCTAGATCCCTGGCCTGGTCGGGCTGTGTGGGAAGCAACCAATCAATGTGTCTCTCTCACATCAATGTTTCTCTCCTCCCCCACCACCCCCTAAAAAGAGAGAAAGGAGCCTGGGCAAGCTCAATGGGAAAATATCCTCAGGTGAGGCTTAACAACAACAACAAAAGATGGGCGTTGGCAAATGAAGAGAAATTAGAGGCCCTACCTGCTGGTTACTGCCGCCAGGGGGCCCATGGTCTTTGAGAAGGCCAGGGCCAGGGAGGGACAGACACGGCACAAAGATGTGTCTTGAAGCCCAGAGACGGCCTGATGCCCTCTCTGCTTCCACTGTCCAGGAACCTGCTGTCCAGGAACCTGGGGGAGATGCCGCTGGCAGAGTGACAACCCTCCCTGCCCTCGGGGCTGCCGCTGTGTTTACATGGCCTCTGAGTGACAAGCAGTTAGACGTGTCACCTTGCCGCCTCAGGACAGGAGCCCCATCTTCTGTGCCGTCCTCACTGCCCTCAAGTCCTGCAGGGCCTGGTTCCCTCCTTGTCCCTTTGTCGCATCAGCCACAGGGACATTACTCTGTGTGGCCCCGCCTCTGTATGCCCAGCTCTGTTCCAGCCCCACTCAGCACCCAAAGGGCAGGCCACGGCCTCCTTTTCAAGATGAGATGTTTACTGCTTTTTCCTGGTCGCAAGCATTCATTTGGGGGGAGTCCGAGGGATGTGCGGCACACACACGTAGAGTCCTCGGCATGCCCCCGCTCGGTGCAGCGCTGCTGGGTCACACACACACTCACTGCTTTCTCAGAAACAGGCTCCTCTGACGACCCATGGAGCTGACTGCACTGTATCAACCCCACGAGGACAGGAAGGTGCGCGCAGCCTGTGTGGCCACGCGGCGTGGGACCAGCTCTGCCCCACTCTTCAAACCCACACTGTGGTGTGTTCCTCCTGACACTGACTCTGCCGGGCCACCAACCGCCAGTGCCAGAGGCCCAGCACCGACAGCAGAGCGGGCCAGAGGCGGCCATGAGCACCGTGCTCATCTGCCCAGACCAGCAGGGACCTTGATGTGGGGCTCGGCTCTTCCCCCCTCAGAGAGGAAGCCAAGGACCAAGGGCAAAAGGACTTTGTTGAATTGGGAGCCAGCGGGCAGGTGGGCGGAGCCACCCACCTGAGACTGCAGCTGCACCATGGAGGCCTCCATCTCTGAGTTGGACTCGTTCAGGTCTCGAATCTCCTGGTTCAGCTGCTTGATCTCCTCATCGTTCTCCAGCACTGCCCCAGAGAGAAAGCCTGGTCGTGGCTCTCCGCTTCACACACAGGCCAGCGAGGGGGGGTGTGGCAGGGGTCTGCTCTCTGGATGGAAGGGGGCCCCTTTCCGAGCAGAGGCACCTGGCCTGCTTTCTGAGCACCCCTTGGTGAGTGGCTCACCTCCCACATTTCATGCTGGGAAGGCTGGTCTGCGGCCACTGGCTGTGTCTGTTTGCCTCCTGGCCCTGGGTCACAGGCATTAATTGCCAAGAATAACATGGAAGTGTTTTCAGATGATACTGAGTTTCCTCAGCTCCCTGCTCCACTGGGACTGAGTTCTCTGCTCCTCAGGCCTGCAGGGCACAGCCCCCAGGTCGGCCAGCAGGCTCCTCTGCTGCCAGGACTCACCGACGCCCAGGTCAGAGCTGCAGTGCTGGGGGCCCAGGCACGGCCACCCTAGGTGAAAGCCAAGGTCCGACGACCCATTGGCTCAGGTCAAGGGATCTGTCTCCACCACGATGGGTTCTGCACCCCTAACCCCTCCCCACGGGAAGGCTCGCTCGCCCCAGGTGCCAGGTCCACGCAGATGCTGCCGAGGGGCGTCCTTACCATCACTCGTCTTAAACTTTGTGCTAAGAACATCATCCCCTGAGAGTTTTCCCTTCTTTCCAGCAAAGGTTGCTCTGGGACAGCCGGACAAGCTGGAAGCAAAAGTCACACATCAAAACCAGCCGAAGGGCACACATCCCAGTGAGAGCCAAGTCCTCGCTGCTGGTGGCCTGGGAGGGTCCTGGATGGAACTTTCTAGCTCATGACCTTTTGCCCCTCACCCAGGGACAGTCCCCCAGCTCCCTCCCTCCTTGTCTAAGACCCTGGTCACTGCCCTGAAGACTTGTGTCCCCAATGTCCTGGGAAGCTGCTCCCTCCCTCTGCACCCTCCCAGCTACGCCTCCCCAGCGGGGACCACCTCTGACCACAACGGGAGTTTCACGTGTTTGTTTGCAGACCATCTTCCCACCCGCCCTGCCCACATGGCCTCCAGGAGGGCCAGCTGTCAATCTCATCTCTGCTGTCTCTCCAGAGCCTGGGGCTCCGTGGCCTCCAGGAGAGGCTTGTGGAGTGAGTGAATTAATTGATCTCACGGTGGATAGACAAGGGCAAATACAAGAAGGAGACAGGACCCAGTGGTGGCTCTGTGCGCCTCAGCCATCACCTGGCACAGAGGAAGCGGGCTGGCGAAAAAGTTTCACTCGCCCTGGGGTGGGGGTGGTGGGGGGAAGATGGGGGAGGAGCCCCCAGGACCACTAACAGGGTGAGGAGGGGTCTTGTCACCAGGCCTCTTTGCAAGACAGGCAAGGCCAGCCCTAAACTTCAAAGAGGCCCCAGCGGGAAAGCAGGGCATGGAGCATGGCAACCAACGCTGCTCCTAAGACGCTGGCAGCCAGGACTCAGGAGGGACTCAGACACGTGGAGAGAGGCAGTGACAGAGGCCTCAGGTGACAGGCCACAGGCACATCACCTGGGCCACAGGCTTCCTCTCGCCTCCCCAGGAGCCCCCAGGAGCCCCCCAGTGCACAGAGGGAGCAGGTACCTCCGGTGGGTGAGGAGCCCCCTGGGCACAGAGGGAGCGGGTACCTCCGGTGGGTGAGGAGCCCCCCCCGGGCACAGAGGGAGCGGGTCCCTCCGGGGGGGGAGGAGCCCCCCGGGCAC